AAGAGCTTTCCCCATCCAGCAAAATGGTCCCCTTTGCACTTTCAGTGAGACAATTTGGAGACACAATGACATGAGGGAATGCAGCAAAGAGACCCTTTTGTACACTACATGCCACATCCACACACACACCACAGCCACTCAGATCTCTGTATATGTGAGGGGTAAGGGTGGGATTTGGTGGAGTCTGATCATATACATGAACAATATTTCTCCCAAGCCGACCAACTGGGTGATGCCAGTCCCTACCAAATTTGAATTGATGACTCAACTAGAGAATTAAAATTAGCAAGGCAAGAAAATTCCAAATGAGGTGAGAAAGCTGTAGAAATAGTTCCAGATCCCCTAGTACCGAGCCATTCAATATCATTTCTGATGACAGGGACAGAGCTAGGAACATTCAATGTGGGTGTGAATCTTTTTCATATACGAGGAGCTGGGTAAGTATTTTTTAAGGAAAATAATACATGAATCAGGAGCAGTGAATTTGATTTAACCTCTTGCAGTCTGCAGAGATGGAGACAGCAGGCAATGGTGCTCCTTGGTTTCCTAGAGCCTGTTCACCCTTCAGGGAGCTAAACAACAGTCAGAAATCTGCTTGTGTTTCAAGACCTGGTATTACTTGTAGAAAAAAAATAAGAGGCAAACCACTCATGTTTTAACTAAAATGATGCTCTTCAATTCAGCACATAGAAAGAATCAATCAAACAGTGGTTGAACGGTAAGTTTTGTGGTCCTGCCGTTGCTATCAGGTGACAATACAAAACACCCCTTTCCCAATCCAGCAAAACCTTAGTTGAGTGCTTGTGGCACCTAGACATTTGCTATAATTTTCAGAAATGGCATAAAATAATTCTAGAAGAGATGCCAGAAAGCTCAAAAGGCCTCTCTTGCCTCTTTATGCTTTTGGATTTGATAGCTCCTAAATATTCTAGAATCATAAGAAGAGAGATAAGGACCATATTAGGGACCTTATTGATATTCAGATAAATTTGATTTGCTTAGATCCTCCACTGTCATTTGCTTGGAAGTTAGAATAAGTCGATCCACTGATCAGATCAGCACATCACATTTATCCTCATCTTCACAGTCAAGAGTTTAGAGATTCGGAGGAAAAGAAACCAGGAGAGATGGTTTGCTTCTGAATTTGTCACATTCCTGTGAAAATAAAAAGGTTTGTTTTCTCTTTGCACAGATTTTTTTTTTAAAGCACCAAAATGAAGCCTAAATTAATTTGGTAAGGTGCCCTTCTTAGGTCTTAATGTTGCTATAAAGTTTTCTGACTACATTTAAGAGGGAGGATCTTTGTTAAAAAGAAAACAACAAAAACAAATGAAATGTCAGTTTTCTTCTGCAGAGACAGGAGGAGTTTCCATTTCTACTGACACTTCTTATCTTGATTCTTTCCAAATTTTAGTAAAGACATAAGATAAAATATAACAGCTCCCAAGGCAAAGATAACATTGTAGAAGCTCTAACAGGGCCCAACCTGCCAGGCTAAGTGTTGAGAATCATTCACAGAATTTTAAACAAAAAGCTTGATTTGGGGATCATGAGTTTGCTCAATCTGCCCTCGCTGTATGACTTGTGACAGGCAGCACACCCAGGGCATGGCAATGGCCACACAAGTTAATAAAATTGCGCTATAATTTGGTGAAATGATTTTCGATGTCTGAACTATTCCTCTATAAAGAAACTATTCCCTTATCCCTTTTGAAGGGGCTGAGACCACGGAGGATTATCTGCTGGAATGCACTGGAAAGCTAGGGTGGGGAAAAAGCAGGGAAATATTTGTGAGTTCAAAAAGCTTTCTGACATCTGGTGTGTGTGTGTGTATGTGTAAAGATGGTTTAGAAAATGTGGCATTTATTTCCATCTGATTCCCGTCTGTGAGAAGTCCCAGAGCACAGTAGGCCTACAGCAGGTGCTGTAGAATTAATCCGAAGTTTCTTATTAGTTCAGAGCTGGGCTTGGGGTGAGGGAAGAGCTCTCCACTGAGTCAGACTTGTCTACAACTCCAGCTTAGTATTTACCCTGTTTCCTTAATTTTTTAAAGTTAGTGACCTGCACCCTTTTGCGGGGTCTAGTTGTGGCTTATTCTAACAAAGTCTTTGCAAATTAGGGGTGGGGGCTGCAGTGACCTCAGAAGGGTACCGGGTGCCCCCTCGCCGGCCTGGGGTCTCGAGGAAGGGGTGGGGCCTGCGCTGCGGGTCCAGCGCGGCCACCCCCTCCCTCCCCGCCCGCCGCCTGCTGTCTGGGCATCAAGAGCGGGAAACATTAGCGTGGGCCAGCTGCCGGAGCCGGGCGGGGTCGAGGGAGAGGTCAAGGTCGGCCGAGAGGCGGCTATTGATCCGGCTTGGAACGCGAGACAGCGAGCGCCGCAAGACTAAAGGGGGAGCTGTGAGACCAGACATTAACAGCTTTCAGCGCTAATGATGCCCGTGCCAGACGGGCAGAGGGAAAAAGAGGAGACTGGAGTGGCGGCGGGGATCGCTCGCTGCCTGCGCCAGGCCGCCTCCCGGGAGAGGAGGAGCAGGAGGAAGAGGAGCAGGAGGAGGAGGGGAAAGTGAAGGCGGAGGGCGAAGGGGCCAGCGCAGGGCTGGGCAGGGCAGGCTCTCCCCGGCTGCCGCGAGGTGGAGCGCGCCGGCGGGCGGCGGCGTGTCCGGCCCTGCGCCTGCCCGCCCGCGCGTCCCTCTTCCCGCCGTCGGGGCAGAGCGGGGCCAATGAGGAAGTGCTCTTTGGGTCAGTCCCGGCCCGCGCCGCCCCCTGCCCGCCACTTCCTGCCGGGGGTGGGGCAGGTGTGCCCCCTCCCCAGTCCCCGCGGCGCGACCGCGCGCGAGTTGGCAGCTGCAGCGGGGACCCCTGAGCTCCCTTGCGCAGCCGGGTGAGGGGCCCTCTTTCCTGAGAGGGCCTTCCCGCTTCCCGCAGCTACTGGCTGGGTCCCCTTTCCTTGTAATCAACCGCGGGAGGGTGAGGGTCATGTGTTGGGATTTCGCGCCTGGGGCCGCAGGCGGCGCAGGGCAGCTGGCACGCCGCGGCATTTGGAGTCCAGACCTGTCCCCGTTGCGGTGTGTGTCTTGGGCAAAGTGCTAAACCTCTCTGGGCTTCACATCTCCACTTCTCAGAAAAAGAGGGCTAATTGATCTCTTAAATCCAAGAGCCTGGGCGAATCGAGATGACCACTTTATGAATTTCTTAAGAAGTTTATTAAAGGTGGGTGTGGGCATTAAAAAAATGTGGCCACTTCATTGAAAAGATTTTCTTGGTGGGGCGGGATGGGAAGAGAGGGATGCACTTCTAGACTTTGGACCACGTGGAGGTGTGTGCGGTGGCGGGGGGTGGTGGTGGTGGTGGTGTAGTTGGGCAGCTGCGTGCATCCTGCTGGGCCGGGGGAGGAGAGGCAAACCCGCCCCTACCCTGCGTCACCACCCGCTCGGCCTCAGCCTCGTGTCCGCCGACCCTGCAGCCCACAGTCCGCAGAACTGCAAGCCACGACACATTTTATTGTTATTATTTTTGGGGAGGTGGGACGGGAAGAGAGCTTTTTCTGTCCAGACTCACTCGGTGCTGTGCGCTAAGTTGTTGCGGTCGCCCCACCCAAAGCCTTAATGAAGAACAAAAAGCCCAGGTGCCCCCAGAGGAAAAGGCCCCGAGGGAGGCGGCGAGCCTGGAGGCCTTGCCGCAGCTGGGTTGAGGCACCGGGTGGGGTGGGTGCCGCGGTGCTCACCCGCGAAGCCCTGCTGGAGCCAGGCCCCAACCCGCCCAGGCCGCCTACTGGCGAGACCAGAGAAACTCTGAGAAGGTAGAGGGGTCCAGACCTTTGGCACACCCAGCCCCGCAGGCCAGGTCATCAAATAGGATAAGTTGGCAGCGACGTGGGGAAGGGCGACGGGAGGGGCCGGTGTCCGCGGGGACTGCGGCCTGGCCTTGTCTGAGGGCCACGGACAGGCCCCCACAACTCCTCTTGTCCTCGCCGGCTGGAGATCAAACGGCTGACAAGGCAGCTGTGTCCTTCCCATTCTGACAGGCAATTTCAAGTCCTATCCTGGGCTGAGGAGCAGGGGGGAGGTGACTTCCAGGTTGCAGTGATTGTCAGAGGGGGGAAGGAGGAAGCTGGGGGGGGGGCTCGTGGAATCACCCGTCTGCAGATATGTGGCCACACCCATTCCAGGGTCAGCAAGTCCAGATACCTCTCCCACGTGGAGTCCCCCCCCCCCTTACCCCCATGCTTCTTGCAGACCCTGGCATTAGGGGTGGGGCGGGTTTGACCTCTAGGAGTTAATGAGGTTAGGGAGGGCAAAGATTTGGGTGAAAACCCCTTCTGCAATGGGACTCAAAAAAAGGTCTCAGATACCTGTACCCACACACCCCACGTGCTTTTGACCGTGGCCTCTTAGTGTCCTTTATTTCATCCACTTCAATTTGCCAGTCTGTACACCAGGATTTATATGGAGACACTTTTTGGAAGTTTATCCTGATCCCCCAATAAAACAAAAGTAAAAGCAACCAAGCTACTTTTCCAGGGAAGCGAAGCGATTGATTACATCTCCTAGTTCTCAGGTGGACCCCAGCCTTTTCCCACAGCCCCCCTCCCCCAAGTCCGAAAGAGGTTTTGGGTGGGTGGGGACTTTCATTGATTCAATTTACTAAACTCACACAGCAACCCGCCCCCCTTCTCAGGGGGTCCTGCTCCCGGGAGGGGAAGTGGGTTGAGGAAGATTTTTCTTTTATATAAAAATATGCTGCCCACCACGCAACTCCCCTTCCCCCAGCTCTGAGCAGCGGGTGCTCCGGGATAAGACCAGCGCACAAAAACGCGGTTTGCACGTGTGGCCGGCTTGGGCTGCGGGTGTGCGCACGGGCGAGTGTGTATGTGTATGTGTGTATGTGTGTGCGCGCGCGTGTGTCTCTGTGTGCTTTCTTGTTCTCTTACAGGGTACAATGTTAAAAAGCCACCGCTAGTCGCCCCCAGTGCTCCGACTCTCTGGGTCTTTTTGTCTCTAGTGCAGATTAAACGTCACGTCCGCACTTGAACTTGAATTTTATCCCATTGTACAGAGGCAGCCCCAGCCATAGAGAGACCGAGAGCTCCCAGAGAACCCGGACTCCGCCATCTTCACGTTGCAATCTATAGCTCCCAGTCCGCGCCCGCACCGACCCAGGCGCACTGGGCGAGCCGCCCCTCAGCCCCGCTCCCCCTGGGCCCGCGGCGCCGGGGGAGCGCTGGGGAGCGCTCGCGGGGACTCGGCAGCCCCTCCGGCCGGCGCCAGCCTGCCAGGTGAACTGGGAAGCAGCCGCTCTTGGAGTCCCCCCAGAGCCTCGGAAGGGTCAGTCTCCGAGAAAAAAACAGGCAGCCCGCAGAAAACCCAGAAACAACCGAACCGCGGCAGTTTTACATTGCTTTGGGTTTTTTGAGGGGGCGGGGTAAGGGGGTACGAGACAAGTCCCCAAGTTTTCTTTGCTTTTTCTTTTTCTTTCTTTTTTTTTATTTGTTTGCATTTTTTTTTCTTTCTCCCCTTCTGGTGGAAGTGCGCGTTCCACCTACCAGACCCTGAAAGAAAGTGTCAGGAGCCGGTGCAAAATCCGGTTTAAGTTCAAGAAGACATTTAGAAGTCCAAGAGGCCAAGCAGTTTGAAGAAGTGTAACAGATCTTTTTTCCTTCGAAAGAATATATATTTTACAGAGACCAGCCGGTCCGCGGCAAGCTACAGTTCTTCTTCTTCTTCTTCTTCTTTTTTTTTTTTTTTGCCTCTTTTTCTCATTTTAGATCGAGAGGTCTTTCTTGTTTTATTATTTTCTTTTTCTTTTTGCAAACAAAACAAAAAACATCATAGAAGAAAGAGCAAAATAAAGAAGAAGAGGAAAAAGAGAGGGCAAGAGAGGAAGGGAAAAAAAAAAAAACAAAAACCAACCCGGGCAGAGGAGGAGGCGCGGCGGCGCGGCGGCAGCGGCGGCGGCGGCGGCGGCTCAGACCCCCTCCCCGGCCCCCATCAGTGCAGCTCTCCGGGCGATGCCAGAATAGATGCCGGGGCAATGTCCCGCCGCAAACAGGGCAACCCGCAGCACTTGTCCCAGAGGGAGCTCATCACCCGTAAGTGTCTGCCGCGTGCGCGAGAGGGGCCGAAGAATGGGGCTCTGGGCGCCCGGAGCGGGGGACACCGAGCCCGGCGCAGCCAGGCCCGGCCGGGCGCCGGGGCCGCTCGCTGGCTGGCAGAGCCAGTGGTATCCTCCCGCAGCATGGTGGGGGGCGGGGGGCCAAAGGAAAGTTTCTTTGCAGCCGGGGAAGCCGGGGCGCTGCGCAGCCACACGCGCCTCGGGGTCAGGGGCCTGCGGAGCCGGCTCCGGGCCGGGGAGAGGGCGCGCAGGCTGGAGGAGGTGTGTGTGTGCTCGCCGAGCCCGGCTGGACGCTAGCCCCTCCGAGCGGCGTGTGTGGCGGCGGCGGCGCTGGTGGCGGGGTTTGGAGAGGAGGGGGAGGGGGCTGGGGGAGCGGAGGGGGAGGGGGGAGCCGGGAAGTGGGGAAAAGTTGGCGAGCGCGTGGGTCCGCGCTGACGGCGCGGGCGGAGGAGACTGGGGTGCGCTCCGGCCTCGGGGAACCGCTGAGCGAGGGGTGGCCGCCGGCTCCCGGTTCTCGGTCGCTGAGCCCAGGCCGGCAGGGCGCCGGCCACGCCGGTCCTAGGATTCCGTAGTCGCCTTTCCCTCCCCTCCGCTGGCTATTTGCAAAAGAATCCAGCTGCGCGGCTGTTTGCCTGGCACAAGCGGCCCCCTCCCCATTTCCCCACCTCCGTCTCCTGGGACGGTCTTGCCCGATTTCCCCCACTCCAAAAGGGGAAAAAAAAAATGGTGGTGGGGGTGGGAATCGGGGTTGGTGAAAAATCCCCGCCACGGTGAAAAAAAAAAGGTTGTCAGGAGTGGGAAGAGAGGGATGCGCCTGTAAAATAGTAAAATTAAAAAAAAATTAAAAAGGAAGAAGAAAAAAAAAGAGGCCTATCAATCTCTTATCCATCTATCTCAGTATCTTTCATCTTCCCTATCTACATAAACAAGGCAGGTCGCAGCGGAAATCCACCGAATGAAATCGTGTGGATTTCAAGCAAGTGGCGGGGCGTGCAGAGTCAGGCAGCGGGTCAGACACGCAGCAGTTTCCAACGCTCCAGCTGGGTTTATTTAGAAAAGAAAAATCGCGAGCGCGAGCGGCCCAGGTACGATGTTCCCGCTCTGTTGCACAGGGAAGGTCCGCCCGCATCGCTCCCAGCCCGCCGCAGCCCGCCGGGGACTCTTCCTCACGGCGCGCGAACATTTCCCCGCCGTTCCTTTCTGTCGCGGTGCCTGGGTCGCCGTTGCTTTTTTATTTATTTTTTTATTGCAATGGAAATAAAACATCCTCTGGGTGTCATCGAGACCGGAGACGAGTTGTATTCCTGCAGTCCTCCGCTCACCTCGCCAGGCTGGGGCCGTGCTCCGGCTCAGAGCTGGAGAGGGCTGCGCGCTCAGCCGCCGCCGAGGACTGGCTGCCGGGCGGCCGAGAGCCGAATATTTATGTTATATTTTAAAAAATTTAAATAAATAAATAAATATATAAAGGGGTTCTCCCCTCCCCTGAAAACCCAGCATAGGAGCCATCTGCTCGGAGCAATTGCTGTTGCCATCTCTCCTTTGTTACAGCAGATACATTAGTAAGAATTTGTGGATTTATTATTATTATTTGGGGGGGGGGAGGAATAGATATTAATGTGAGCTTCTTGGGAGAGGAATGCCTTTTTGGAGGGAGGGAAGAGGACTTCTCTTTTTTTTTCCCCCGCTATTGTAACATCAAAGAAGAGTCGCTGGTTGCATTTAAAACAAAATGTTTTGCAACCAGATTTGAGCGTGGTTTGATCAAGGTCCTTTTCGCCAGTTGACATTTCGTTCCTTCACCAAGCCGCAGCAGCAATTGCTTATGCTTATTCTACAACTCCCCCCGCTTTAGATGGGGTGGTTGTTAAAACGTCTATACTTGCAGACGCCTAATTTCTCCAGGAGGCAATTTGCCCCACGGAGCCTCTGTATAATTGCAAGGGTTGTTTTTGAGGAGGGGGAGTAGGGGGGGTGGGGAAGGGGGAGATGTTGGGGGTGCATTGCCGAGCTGGCAGCCGAGACAGGAACCAGGAGCCTTTGCAGTTGTGTGTGAGGGGAAAGAGGCAGGTAGGTTTGCCTGCTTTTGCTCTCCACTCTCCTGGCATTCCTGGGACGTCAGGAGAAAACCCTGGGCAGGAGGACTGGTGGCAGCTGGGCATGGGGGCGAGGGGTGCCTGGTGCAACATCCTTCCATCTGGGGAAAGCCGCTGATGATACTGGAGCAGGGGCAGCGAGGGAAAGAGAAGCAAAGAAGGGTGGTGGGTAGAAAGAGGGGACGGAGATGAGGGCGTGAAGCAGTCTGCCTGCCTTCCAGGGGCACAGGGAGTCCTGGTTTGTGCAGGGGTTTAAGCAGGGAGAGTGGTCCAACCAGTTCTCAGACAAGGCTACTTATTATCCAAAAGCAGCTGGCTTTTCTGCCTGTCCTGTGTCACCCGGGAGGTGGGAGCTAGCAGGGGAAGGCAAGAATCAGAGGCAGTTGAGGCTGCCTGGCCTGGGGATTTGCCTTTCTCCAGACTGTAGAGGAGCCTTAGGGTGCTCTGGAGCTCAGGCTAGCAAAGCAGGTGCCCTTGCAAATCCCACCTGGTGTTACCATTTGAGATTTTTAAATATGAAAGAAACCACCTAAAACGTAGCATGATCAGTAGCCTGATCAGTTGGGCGGCAGCCTGCGGGCCTGTGGGGCAGCAGCCTTAGGTTCTTTAGGGATGATGCAACTTGGGCTAACTGATGGCCTGGGAAACCAGAAGAGCACACAAATAGCATCCGTGTTCTTGGTCAGGGGTAAGGAGAGGGGCTCCATAATGAGTTAGTTCAATTTACAGACAGGACTGGTGGGGAGAAGAGCAAGGTAGGAGAGAGTGAGGGAGACAGCTGGAAATGAAAACCTGGGCTTCTGGTTTGTTTCAAATGTTTGACCTAGATGAATATAGCTTTTAAAACTGGAGGACAGTCACAGCCATTAATAAAAACAAACACAAAACAACACAGTAACAATAGTGAAAGAGGACGAAAGGGGGGAGCGGCTGACCAGGCAGCGAGAAGGACCCAGAGCCGGCCGTGCTAGACAGGGCCAGGGTGAAGGGAAATGTACTCAAATCCTTGGAGGGGCTGGAGGCTGTCTGAAGAAACTGAATAAACCAAGATGTCCATGATAAATTATGTGACCTCAATTAAGGTGAATTTTCAGCAACCCACCAACAGGTTTCCTCGGAAGATCAATAATTTTCGGTATGAATTCATGATTTTGCAAAACAGAGACCCAGGATTTGACAGGGAAGTTAGGCTGTTTTAATTCCACGGTCGCCTTTTAAATTAGCTTTTGCTGTAACTGTATGTTTTGAAGGTGGCTGTGCTTACAATTACCCTAACTCCCTAGAGGATGGTATATCTACAATGGTCCACTTATCTTTCAAAACTGGGCCTCTGATAAATTTCATAAGACATGGGCCCTCCTTTTCTTCTGTTATTATTATTTTTTTCTTTTTTGGTAGTTGGGTGGGGACAGTGAAGTTTGTCTCCCTTCTGCACAGAAGGGAACCCCATATCATTAGAAGTGTGATATGTCAGCTGCTTCGATTCCACGGGAGAATAAGAACGTGCTCATGCAAGGTGTTATGCCAGGCTGGTTTTATTCATTTGTAATTCACACCTGAGAGAAAACAGTCGTGAGCATATTTTAACAACTCCTAATATTTTTAAAGGGTATTTTTTTTCCTACCTGAAGATTTTGTACTTAGGCATATTTCTTTCTTTTTTTTGGGGGGGGGGTGGGGAGTGTTGTTATCTGCCTCAGCCTTGATGTTGGTGGTTTTGCTTGGCCTTCAGAATATTTTATACCCAAAAGAAACCATTTCTCCAGTTCTAGGGCAAACACGGTTGTGTCTAGAAGCGGGCCTTAGAAGCATCCAAGGGGGCTGGGATCAGAGGGTTGGGTGAGATGCACTGGTGACCACTGTGTAGACCCAGGGGGTTTTCCTTGATCGAACAGGGGGCCAATTTTGGGTGCATTTGACAGTAATTAGAATGATGTCTCAGGGGAAATGAAGCATGTAAACAGTCCGATTGCGGATCCCGGTTTCCGACTGAGGAGTGAGCATACCAGTTTCCAGGGCCTTATCAGCAGGGCACTCCTGGCTCTGTCTTACAGGCCACACAGCTTGTACCGTGCCTTCCCTTCGCCCTGTGCATCTCCTATCCCGATTGCTTTGCATTCTCTGTTGTTTGTTGTGATAAAATACTTTCCAAAATAAACTTTCAGTGGAATTGGCTTTTGGTTCATGGCAAGCCTGAAATACTGAGCTTCGCCTAGCGCCGCTCGGCAGCTAGGGGGAGCTCGGTGCCCGTGTCATGGCTGGTGGCGCCCCTGCTACAATGGCTAGGAATGGGCTTCCATCAGCAGCCGGCAGTTTACGTTGCTGCAAAATGTCTTAAGTGTGAAGTTGTAATATTGATTTTCCTGTAGAGATTCGTGCAGGACAAAATGAGAATATAAGTTTGAGAAATCTATTTTCAAGCCATCGCCATTGATTTACAAGCCTTTCCTTGGCAGATGGAGGTATTTTCTTTTTCTTTAATTTTCTTTTTCTTCTTTTCTTTCTTTCTTGCATTTTTTTAACAATTAAAATTATTAGTTTTGGATGAGTGTGTTTTCCTGATTTATCTGTGGTCTTGACATTCTGAAAATGACACTCTGTTGTTAAGGCATTTGTGATCCAGCTGGGGGGGTCGGGAAGAGGGTTCATCATTTTGAGTAAGGCGCACCGTCTCTTTCTGGGTTGCATGTTACAGATCTGGGGACACAGAGAATCGCTGCATTGGGGAGTTTTGTACCTAAAACAGTTTGATGAATGGAAATCCTTTTAGCTCAGAGTTTATAACACTTGGGTTCTCAATTCCACTTATTAGGTAATGCTCCCCCTGTACTGGAGGAAATAGCACTATTCCCCAAAGATATCAGATGCCAACTCAAATAATGTG